CCGCAAACACGGGTATTTTTTTTTTTTTGGGGGGGGGGGGGCGTTATAGAACTATTAAAGATACATTTCCATGAAAGTATTTATAAAGTAGTTATTTCCAAAGATAAACGTATTATATACAGTGTCAAAACCAGACTTCTATTTTATAAAAATAACGTGTACGGTGTAGGTGAAATTTACCTTTCGTTATCAAGTACAGCACGTGGGTGATGCATTGTATAGACCTCTTAAGGAACGGCAAAAGATTATTAGGTCACCCAACGAATATATTGACCCGAAATCGGTTACGTGTCCGAATAAGCGGTTTTGACGTTCACGTCCAAACGATTCAATATTTTGAGCTGAAATTTTTAGAGAAGGTGCTTTAATTTCATACGTGCACAGACCCAACGAATATATTGACCCGAAATCGGTTACGTGTCCGAATAAGCGGTTTTGACGTTCACGTCCAAACGATTCAATAATTTGAGCTCAAATTTTTAGAGAAGGTGCTTTAATTTCATACGTGCACAGACTTTTATTTCTGAGCCTCTGTTAAAATCGGGACGGTCCCTTTAAGCATTTTAGATTAAGAGACAAGATAATTTGGGTTTTCCACCGATTTTTATTCCAAATCTGGTGAACGGTAAATGGGGTGAAGAAGCCTGGAGAAAATTTACCAGTGGCTAGTCCCCTTTGTATAATTAAATTAATTGATTACCACCTAAACTATGCAATCTACTTCCTTTCCAGGTTAAACATTACTTTTTTGGTAAATTTTCTATTTCAAACATTGTTATTAGAATTAATTCAAATGTTTTTGAATATTTGACCAATACACGTGCATGTACGGTAATAAAACCACGTGACTATGTGAGCAAATCAAACCGCATCTTACACGCTGTCACTGATCAGCTGGCAAGCACGCGTGTAAACTTCTGTCATTTTTTAGAGGCGACAATACATCAAAATACGCAAAGAGAATTTTTCGGTATCCATAATTTCATATAATCGAAGAATGTCGAGCGATGAAGAAAACGATGCACCGATACCAAAAGCCAAGGAGGCAAGACCAACTTTAAAATTGCCCACATTTTATGAAATGGTAACCGAGGCCTTGACAAAATTGGATGATAGAAAGGGTGTCTCTGTGCAGGCCATCAGAGCTTACATTACTGAAACCTATAAATCCGTCGATCCGAATACGATGAAATACCGAATGAAAGTAGCTCTTGCAAAAGGAATAGAAAAGGGTATTTTTAAAAGACCCAAATCGTCTGAAGATTCAAAAGGTGCCACAGGTCGTTTCAAATTGGATAAGGCTGCAATCGAAGCAGCCAAAAAACCAAAACCAGCGAAAAAGACCGACCCAGCTGCAAAAGAAAATAAAAAGAAAACAGTCACTTCTGCGAAAGAAAAGAAAACGGACAAAGCAAAAGTAGCAAAAATGAAAGAACCAACAGATAAAAGCTCGTTGAAGACGACTAAGACAACTTCTGCCAAGACAAAATCAAAATCTCCCAAAGCAGCCAAAAAGACACCCCCCAAGAAAACAGTGTCAGTTAAGAAAATAGTCAAAGGTGTTGAAGCCAAACCCAAGGCAAAGGTATACATATATATAGATAAATTGAATGGAGATAATTAAATATCAAGAATGTCATAAGCTGTGGATTACTTTATCTAGAATGTCTAAGAGCTGTGCCTTGACTAAGTTTGGAACACAATAGCTTTGCTTTAAATTCAGGTAGAATGTTCAAACTTTGGGTATATTGTCATTAGGGACATTCTAATTGAGGAAGTGTGATGAAACTTGGTATTTAGTTTCACTACATTAAAAAATCTTGACTATGGTGATTATGAGCATTTTCAGCTTAGACTAAGAATAACCAGTTTGATTGCTCAATGCTTTACAAACAGATAAATGTGCTGAGTTTGTTTTGGAATTGAAACAAGGAACATTAGCCTCACTGCCAGGCTTTGTGCAAGTAAAAATATGTTCAATTGAAAAATTTTCAACACATATCAGGTTGCCTGGAGATAAGTAATTATGTTACGAATAGTGAAGAATGGAACACTGAAATCTTAATCTTATCTTACCAGTTTTGGGGGTCACGGTGATGTGAGTAAGGCCCTGGCTCGCTAGCTGGGAGGTCGTGTGTTCGATCCCAGCATTGGCCAAGAAAGTTCATCCAGATTTTCCGGGGTGGCTCCCCCTTGTCAGTGATGCAGGACGGAGGGCCTGACAAGGACAGCTGTCTAGTTATTTGAATGGGACGAAAAAACCAAGGTCCCGTGTATACATTGGCATGCACGTAAAAGATCCCCTCATAGCACACTGTATGGCAAATGTCCGTTTTCATTAGCCCAATTCGGAGCAGAACAGGACGATGTTAAACCCCATTTCATTTTAGCAGACACTTTTTCTGTATTTTCGAGGTGATGTGATATCTCATGCATGTTCTAATTCTGGTTTGGCGGCCATTTTAAAAATGGATAGAAATTTCTAATAAGAGATCTATAGCAAGAGATCTTTTCCCCCAGGGTCTAAATGAAAACTCAATAGCCATCCATCGAAAAGTAGCTGGTGCGCATATATTGTTTTGCCAGGCATTGTTATGTTTACGTTTAAACATTATTGATTGAAATCAGTTTTTTATTTTCAGCCGAAAGCAGCAACGAAAAAGACTCCAACTAAAAAAGAAGTGGAAACAAAAAAGAAGACAGCTCCAAGGAAGAAACCTGTGCAATAAACAAAAACACCTATATGTATATGTATGATCACTGTATATAAAGATCACATCATCAATGTCTTATATAATAAGATTTTTAAATTATTGAATTCAAATCTATCGAATGTGAAAAATAAAGCTTTTAAGATCATATTAAATATCATTATTTGTTAGGGTTAAAAGATTTCCATTTGGTTTTGAGACATTTTCTGTTTATACAATAGTTTTAAATTAGAAGTGGATAATTTTCTGAAAAATTTCAGATTTCATTAATATGCATTATTTCAACTATGGTATATAATGGCAAATTTGCCCGTCGGTGTAACATGTAACTTTCTAAAGAAATGTCATTGTGTGTAGATTGATGTTGAATTATTCAATAATTCATCTTCAAGAAAAGCTAGATACATATTATGTTATTAGTGTTGACACATATAAAAGAATATTTCCATTTGAATAGTTCTTCAATTAAGCTATATAAACTGATTTTTTTTTGTCTCCTGGAGAAAATGTTTAATAATATTAAATCTGTGAAATCAATTGATATTCAAAAATAAACAAATAAAGGAAATGTATTATCGGAAATGACTCAAATAGTATTGAAATAATGATTTCAAATAGTAAAATCAGCATTTGATGCAACCACTATATATTTCTACACTTTCGATTGACTCCACTCCATATACAGTAGATTGGTTTGTGTGGCAGGTCATGTGTCATCCATGGAACTTGAATGTCCACATTGAACTTTTGATTTGTTCTCAACTGCTCAATAGATGACTGTAAGTATTCTGTTCACCATCTTGGGTGGCCCTCTGAACTGACTTTGAGGAGTACCGTTAATGTGTATAAGTCAATCGGACCTCAAGATATTTTGTTGGTCAGCAAGGGAAACAACTCACATTACGAGGATGAAAAAACTGGTTTAACAAATCGTAGTTCAAGTTTGTGCTCTTGTCTCAATGTAAACTTGAACGTTGTGGCTGATGCCCCCGACTGCAATCCCAAAATAAATAGATGACACTACTAATTAATTTCACATTTGTCTTTTTGAAAAGCATTGAGCAATCGAATCGATTATCTATACCCAATAAACACCTACACCAAGTTTAAACATTCTAACTCAATTAAGCGAGTTATTGTGTTCCAAAGTCTCTCAACCAATAGATTAAAGTCTCCACTTGGCCTAAGCAGAAAATCCTCATCATCAAACTTAGTCAAGGTATAGATGTAATGAAACTATACACGAAGATTCATCACTTGACTCAATTAGACTCATCAAAGTTATTGAGCTCCAAAGTATCGACCAATCAAATTGCTTATCACTCTGCTTACCCTGAGCAGAAAATGCTCAATATCAAACGTAATCAAGGTATTGATATAATGAAACTATACACCGAGTTTCATCACTCTCACTTAATTAGAACCAAAGTTATTATGTCCCAAAGCAGCAACCAATCAAATTTCTTATCTCTGCTTAACCTAAGCAGAAAATGCTTATCTTCGAACTCCATCAAGGCATTGACCTAATAAACACCTACACCAAGTTTGAACATTCTAGCTAAAACACACATTATGCAAGAGCTATCTGCCTATTGCAGGTCTTTCTTTAGGCCTGAAATGTTATCTAAATTATTAATTAGACATTAATTAATACTTATCCAGACCATAATGTATGTCATAATGTCATCGCTAGCCCTCGATATTTACTGGATTAGGATCCGATTTGCTGCTCAACTTTCATTCAGGATTAAATCATGAAATGGGTAATCAAGACTATGTTTTATTTCATACCGACTTTAGTAATGATGATCAAGGATAGGTCGAAAAATCAACCGATTTGCTGCTCAACTTTCATTCAGGATTAAATCATGAAATGGGTAATCAAGACTATGTTTTATTTCATACCGACTTTAGTAATGATGATCAAGGATAGGTCGAAAAATCAATCGCTAAATTCTTGGTTTATAGTGGATCAATTTGACTGAAACTTTTAGCAAATTCCCTTTACATTAGCTAGTTTTTAACTATTATAGTGAGAACTGCCAGCTCTTTATCTAATCTCCCATAATGTATCTTTAATTAGGAGAGTTATTGAGTCCCAAAAAGTGTGATGGATGGACAGTCCCATTTCAATAATCCCCTGCTTTCTTCGAAAGGTGGGGGACAAAAATATGTAACGATAATATTCTAAAAATAAACATGATGTCAGGAGGCATCATATGTCCTGAAAAATGTCTTTTAGTTTCGACACTTATTCGAAGAAGAGTAGTAGATATAAATAAAATCAGACACCATTTCATTCCCTTTAATATATCTATATAAACACTGTACACATGTAGTTCCATCACACATTATATCAGTTTGTCTTTTTTTGTTTGGCATCTCTTATTTTTCTGTACACATCAATAACTCTTTCACGTTCACTGTCTAATATTACTTGTTGTGCTGGTGACATTAATTTCCGTTTTAATGTTTGTCCAACTTTCCGTGATCCAGATGATTTCTGATTATCATTATTCACCTTGTTTGAAATTAAAATATCTTTCAGAATTAGTGACTTGGCACCAGGCTGAAAAAAATAAATAATATATACATGTATATATAATAATTATCTTATACATAATATTTGGGTACAACCATGCTTCGAAATAAATTACACCATTATAAATACCTTAATCAATAGTTTATTTGACGATTTGGAGTAGAAACTAATTAACTCTTTTATGTTTCTCATACACGTAGAGATGAATCAGTATGAGAAAGTACGTCAGTGATGCTAGATAGAGGGCCCAGCAAGGAATGGTGTCTAGTTGTTTTATGGGACATAAAACCAAGGCCCTGTGTACACGTTGCCATTATGTAAAAGAACCCATAAAATATTGGATTTCAATGAAGAGTTAGTTGAAATGCTGTTATTTGAGCAAAATTTTCCTCTTAACACACTATAAAAGGAACAAGAAATATTAGACGGTAATCTGATCTTCGCCCTTTATTTATACATAAGTTGTAAGGAAATGTTACCTTTCTACCACCTTCCTCTCTGTTAGCTTTCCGGGGTAAAGCAGATAGTGAAGGTGGTGCATGTACTATTTCCCCAAATTCTACACGATCTGCAACATAATATAATAATTACAAGATTGATGGTTTTGAAAGTTGAGTCATACACGATAAATAACAAGAGCATCGCTAACGCAGCAATATACGTCCACATTCCTGTTTTGTTTGATATGGTCCAGTTTGCATTGAGGGTCTGTGAAATAAAACTGGGTTGTAGGACTGCTATCAGTTTAACACTTCGTTCACATTAACAGAACACAATTTTTATTTTAAAACAATCGATGTCTTTATTCTAAAAGCATGGCGTTTCGAATAGGTATGCAAAGTTTCAAAAGGATCTGTTAAGAATTGCGGTCTGTAGGCAAAACACAAGACACACAAACATTAGGCGTGGCTCTGTCCCAAGGGGTCGAGCATGCACCAAAAATAATAATAGAGGTCGGCCTTAGGATTAAGGAATAAGTATAAATAGTAGCCTTAGGCTATAAGGAATAAGTATAAAAAAGTTTTCAAGATGATCGATTAAGAAATGCGGTCTGCAAGTGACACACAGACATAAAAAAAGAAAATGGGCGTAGCTCTGCCCCTGGGGGTTGGGTATTCACCACAAATAATAGGGATGTTCCTTAGGACAGAAGGAATATGTATGCTAGGTTTCAAGGTGATACGATAAAAAAATGCGATCTGTAGATGACAAACAAATAAATAAATATAATGGATGGGTGTGGCTATGCCCCTGGCGGTCGGGCATGCACCAAAAACAATAGGGATCATCGTTAGGGTATAAGCAATTCATATGAAATTTTTTCAAGACGATTAAGAATTGTGGCCTGTAGGTGACACACAGACAGAAAAAGAAAAGAAAATGGGCGTGGCTCTGCCCCTGGGGGTAAAAAAAACAATAGGGATCATCGTTAGGGTATAAGCAATTCATATGAAAAAATTTCAAGACGATTGATTAAGAATTGTGGCCTGTAGGCGACACACAGACATAAAAAAGAAAATAGCCGTGGCTTTGCCCCTGGGGGTTGGGCATGCACCCAAAACGATAGGGATGTTCCTTAGGGTACAAAGAATAAGTATGCAAAGTTTCAAGATGATACGTTAAGAAATGTGGCCTGTAGACGACAAACAAACAAATACAAAAAATGGGCGTGGCTCTGCCCCGGGGAGGCGAGCATGCACCAAAAACAATAGGGATCATCCTTAGGGTATAAGGAATAAGTATGTAAAGTTGATACGTTAAGAAATGTGGTCTGTAGATGACAAACAAATAAATAAATATAAGGAATGGGCGTGGTTCTGCCCCTGGGGGTCAGGCATGCGTGGCTCTGCCCCTGGGGGTAAAAAAAACAATAGGGATCATCGTTAGGGTATAAGCAATTCATATGAAAAAATTTCAAGACGATTGATTAAGAATTGTGGCCTGTAGGCGACACACAGACATAAAAAAGAAAATAGCCGTGGCTTTGCCCCTGGGGGTTGGGCATGCACCCAAAACGATAGGGATGTTCCTTAGGGTACAAAGAATAAGTATGCAAAGTTTCAAGATGATACGTTAAGAAATGTGGCCTGTAGACGACAAACAAACAAATACAAAAAATGGGCGTGGCTCTGCCCCGGGGAGGCGAGCATGCACCAAAAACAATAGGGATCATCCTTAGGGTATAAGGAATAAGTATGTAAAGTTGATACGTTAAGAAATGTGGTCTGTAGATGACAAACAAATAAATAAATATAAGGAATGGGCGTGGTTCTGCCCCTGGGGGTCAGGCATGCGTGGCTCTGCCCCTGGGGGTAAAAAAACAATAGGGATCATCGTTAGGGTATAAGCAATTCATATGAAAAAATTTCAAGACGATTGATTAAGAATTGTGGCCTCTAGGCGACACACAGACATATAAAAGAAAATGGGCGTGGCTTTGCCCCTGGGGGTTGGGCATGCACCCAAAACGATAGGGATGTTCCTTATGGTACAAAGAATAAGTATGCATAGTTTCAAGATGATACGTTAAGAAATGTGGTCTGTAGATGACAAACAAATAAATAAATATAAGGAATGGGCGTGGCTCTGCCCCTGGGGGTCGGGCATGCACCAAAAACAATAGGGATCATACTTAGGGTATAAGCAATTCATATGAAAAATTTTCAAGACGATTGATTAAGAATTGTGGCCTATAGGCGACACACAGACATACAAAGAAAAGAAAATGGGCGTGGCTCTGCCCCTTGGGGTCGGGCATGCACCCCAAACGATAGGGATGTTCCTTAGGGTACAAAGAATAAGTATGCATAGTTTCAAGATGATACGTTAAGAAATGTGGCCTGTAGACGACAAAAAAACAAATACAAAAAATGGGTGTGGCTCTGCCCCTGGGGGTCGGGCATGCACCAAAAACAATAGGGATCATCCTTAGGGTATAAGGAATAAGTATGTAAAGTTTGAAGATGATCACTTAAGAATTGTGGCATGTAGGCGACACACAGACACACATACACACACACAGACAGGGGCGACGGCAATATACGTCCACATTATGAATGTGGACGTATAAAAATCATAAAAACTAACTAAATGTTCATGAAAATTATATTAATGTTTCTGGTTGTCATTTGATGGATCTTTCATCCGTTGCGAACTACAATATTATGAAAGTTGACTCTCTACGAGGAATATCCAACCGAAAATATATCAAATTTGTACAGTATTTACAAAAATATGAATTGAGTATTTGTCAACATTCAGCTTCCGCTGAAGATGAAATACAGGATATTGTCTACAAGCCAGTGCTACCTATGATGTTTACTGAAATTTTTGGATGGGACTCTTTTCTGATTTAATCCAAAACAGTACATTAATTACCTTTGTAATTTTAATTTTGTTTTCTTAATTAAATGATAATCAATTTGAGTATATTTAGCGTTGATTATTATCCGAAAAATACAAATGACAATAGTTTTTAATTTGTGCAGATTTGAGTTCAAGTGGAACACCTTGGCCAACTGAAGTTTGTTCCTAATTAAGCACAAGAACATATTTTAATTACTATACAAATAATATATACAGTACATGTACATATTGCTACCAAATTTCAGTCATGTATTCTACAGTAACAACTTGATGACAATGGTCTAAAATATTTTTTTCTAGATGGTCTCATTGTTAATCATTGATAATAAGAATCGCAATAAATTATAACTTAGAACTACATGTATATTCTACCTTCAAATGTTTTAAAATCTTGATACCCATCAATTAATTTTTCCTCTTTTTTCAGCATTTTCTTCTCTTTCTTTTGGGCTTCTCTTCTGTAATAACGAAATTCAATAATTTATACTAGGATACATGGAAAAACCATCCCAAGAAAAGAATTAGGAACTGCCAAACCAACCCTTGTAGTGAAGCCTCTATAATTCCTGATATTTATACGCCTACATGTTATGTGATCTTATACACTCTGTCATTCATTATCTCCATTTTGAGTGTTTTCCCCACAATAGATTCCAAGTTATAGATCTAGACTAATACCAATGTTAAATTCTTCACCAATTTTCACAAAATGTTCAGGAATAAGGAGTATTGGGTAAAACTGATGCCCATCTTCCAACCATTGGAACTGGCTGGAGTATTTTATTCACCACATAAAATCTAATAGGCTCTGTTCTGACTACAAATTTAAATTATCAAGACCAAGACCAGAGCTTGAATAGTAGGCCTATATCCGTTTATTTTTTTTCTGTTCCTACCGTCTCTTCTTTTCACTTGGTTTCTTTTCTTTTTTTAACTTGTATTCTCCATCTTCTGTTTCTACAACCTCAGCCTACAAATTAAAAGCAGAACATATACTATAATGAACACATCACTAATCATACAAAATTTATAATAAAGAGTTGCTTACAAGGTATTTTTTACAGAAGTGTTAGTGCCCATATATTGTCTACAAGTACAATTGGTGGCAGCCTTAGATTTTAATTGATGAATAATATTTACAAAGGCATAAATTTAATGACTTACATCCCATTTATCTGCCAGTTTTGCCATTAACATTGCCTTTTTTGACTCTTCATTCAGTCTATGTAAAAATCGTTTGTCAGACTCTCCTGGTCGTTGCACAAACATGTTACTTTTGGATTCTTCTACTTCTAATTGAGGAACATCACGAATCTGTTTATGTTTATTTTCTTCACATATAACTGAATTTTTTAGTTTATTTTTATTCTTATTTTTTTGCTTTTGCCTCTTTCTCCCTTTTTTCACTTGTTCAGTTTGTTTCATCAGCTCTAAAACTTCTAAGGCTTTTCTTGGGATCTCTTGCTCCAGTGATGTTGGCTTTTGATCCTTGCCTGCAAACAACCTAATACAAATATTTAAATAAAAAAATTATATCCCAAATTAAATCAATTCAAGATATATTGCTTTTTCACTATCCAATATCTTTCAAATGCATTTAGAAATAAAGTAGACCTGCTGATAAGAACACAATAAAGCCAAGGCAATTTAATGATACTCTTGTTTCACCACATCTATTATTATGCATCTGTACTTTCTTCTGTTTATTATAAGAATTCTCTGGCCTACCGGTATTTGCTTATGTACTGTTTAAACAACATATAGTAACCGAATTGAAAAGCGATTATATAATGGACCGGTGTCCGGTACTGTGCTTCAATTGGAGCTACGTTTCTACAAGCATACTGATACCTTCAGAAAGAACAAAAATATACACCAATATGTATACAATCATAACATTAGTGAAACATCTTAATTAATGAGAATAGCCGAATTTTTGATCCAATTTATAATTAGTTTATGCTTGAACATGATAAGAGAATGATTGCAGAACGGCTTTCTATAGAACTGTTGTGATTATCCTACTCACATATCTTTTCTTTCACCATGGTAAAATGGATCAACTGACTTCAGTTTTTTGTGCTTTATACTCTTCAGCGGTTTCCCAATTCTTGGAGCACTGTGAATAAATAACATTAAAATATTAATAATGATAATTCAAATATCCATAGTATACTGGAATCAGTTTAACCTTGGAGTTCTTATACTTAGAACATGTTTTATATGTTTCAGCTCATATTGTTTATCAATTTTGTTACTAATTTGAACACAATATTTTAATTTAACCAAATCAACCCAACCCAATCAAACGTCTAAATTCAGAATATCTGCAATATTCTGATTATGTTCAACTTCTTTAAGCTGGAGCCTTAGTATACATCTAGATCAGTTTGGAATCAATCAGCCAATTCATGGATTCTCTTGCTATTTCTTACATTACATAGGCCTAGATATGTAAATTGCCTTTAAAATTTCTGGTGTGGACGTAAGTCTTTATCATCAAACTGGTACTTTTGACAATAAGCAGGATTTCTAAACAATCAAGTAGACCTGCACATGGACATGAACCGTAACTCAAACTCTCTGACATTCTATATTCAGCATTTTTCTATATGAATTTTGTATCTGAAAATTCTGTATTAGATCTGTAGTTACTTTAGTAACGGATTCTTATCGGCTTCACTCTGTAGTGTGGAAAGGTTGGAATATTGCAATGTCTGTTTACATACATGGGTAGAGATACACCAAGTACAGTACCTAATCTCTTGACCCTCCATCCATAGCCTTTACTCTATAGAATGTCTCAAACACATCAGAATATCTCAACGTTTTAGTGAGGTTCCTGTAGCTAAACTTGGTACAGTGTGGCATAAAGAAAGTTCCCCCATGTCATTAGAATCTACTGGAAATCAATATTCCACACAATTGAAAAGAAGAGGTTAGGATTTTTCCCTTTAAAAATATCAATTCAATTTAACTGAAAAACAAGCATAAATCTGCACCAGTCTTCACTGACTTCAGTTTAACACTGGGCACCGGGGCCTACAGAATCTACATACTTTTTTACATTCTTTTGTGACTCCCTTAATTTTCTTCTGAACTGATCAAATTTCTTGTTTTTCCGCCTTCTCTGGGTATTTGAAATCTTGGACATTATGCAAACGCAATCGCTACAAATATTTTGAACACATGTGAGGTATTCCCCAATACCATGCAACAGGGGGCGCAATTTAATTTGCGTCACTTCCGGGGAATCCCTGTCATTATCGACAAGGAAAGAAACAAACACACGTTGAGAACTGTCGTCATGCTTATCAGGAAGAACATCGTGGAGGTTTGTATCTTATTTGATTAATTAGGAGGTGAACGTGTGCTATTTCATCTACATTTGGAAATCCAATCAGATTTAACGAGATCCGAGCTGAATAATTTTAGAAACAATCACAAATTCAAGAAAGGACAAATCGAAGGGCATCATCATCATCATTTTGCCTCATCGATTGTTGATACATATTATGGCATCATAATTGTGCTAATAATTGAATATTAAACATACATTATGCAAGAGCCTATTGCAGGCCTTTCTTTAGGTCTGAAATGTTTTCTAAATTATTAATTAGACATTAATTAACTAATCCAGGCCATAATCAACTCTCGATGTCAAACCTTCAAAGGCAAAGGCTTATATCTTCGCTTGCAATAGAGTAATTTGAATGAAATTTTCAAATTATTCATTTTACATTATCAATTTTCGCACTATTACAACAAGAATGGCTAGCCCTTTATCTAAATCTTACATAATGTATCTTTAACTTGTTATAGGTGGCTATTCTTATTCTTGCATTTGGGCTCAAAATTGTTGTCTTTCGATGTCATGTGTGTTATACTGGATAGCAAATTTAATCTATGAGGGGCCTACTCATAAATATATAGTTGTCAGCTCATTTGGCTTTAAGCAATACAAGCTATTGGCACAAGGGTATTTTCACTCGCCTATAAGTATCTGTGAGGTAAAAAGTCCTGTCACTGACTGGCATGACTGAAAATGACATCAAAAGGGAAACCCGTAAAATCTCCTATAGGCAGGAGTAGTTACAGTTGCTTTCATTAGTTTCCTTAGCTGTGTAATTCCAGGACATAACAGCAACATGTAACTATAAATTTTCCCTTTTCTCAGACATCACTCCATAGGATAATTCTTTTTTTAATATTGAGACATTATGCAATATTTCTATAATGAAATCATTTCTTTCTTTTTTAGTTGAGGTAATGGTCAAGTTAGCTGTAGTAAAGCAGAAACGATTTATATGGCTGCAAAAATACCTGGTTTGATAACCACAAGCAAAACTATTGCTAAAGGCATTACATTACATGTAAACACATGTTATGGAGTTCAGTATACAGGTTCCTATGTTTCTTTGAAGCCAATAAAATATTATTCGGCATCAGTTCCAATACTTAATAATGAGAAACTGAGGCATGATGAAGACACTACTAGTGATGACGAGAATAGTAAAACTGAGGTCAAAATGGTGATCGGTGAAGATGTCAAATTGAAAAGTGCCACTTACACTACAAACATAGTTCCAGGAAAAGGTCCCCCACCAGAACCCCCTGTAGAATGCTGTATGAGTGGTTGCTCAAATTGTGTATGGATTACTTATGCTGAAGAATTAAGAGATTATTATAGTGATGGAGGAAAAACTGCTTTGAAAGCATTAGAAAACATCGAAAACCCTTCATTGAGAGCATTTGTAAAATTAGAACTTAATTTGAAATCATGACCACACCCATTTAATTAATTAATTCATGATCAAACAAAATCTCATCAAATTCAGAATGTGTTTTAGTACAGTCCTGAAAGTAAAAAAAAAATGGTGTTCATAAGAATTGTTTTAATTTTTAAGATTACATAATAGGGCTTATCTACTCTGTAATTACTAATTATATATGATTTGATATCTACTGTATTAACCTGTTTACTACGAAAGCCACATGATTAATACACAATGATACAGAGGAAGCAGCATTAAGATCTCTTTCAGGGATGCAACCAGTCAAACACTGATAATTATGGTACAACTTTTCTTGAATAAATCAAAATATTTTGCCAGTAATCCCAGTTTCTGATAGTTGATCAGATAAAAAATGCATTCACCAGTAATTTATTAAAGTTTTTCCCAATTCTTTAAATGTGTTAAATATCAGGATATGTATGACATGTTGTTTGATATTATTGCAGATTGTAGATACATATATGGAATTATAGATTTAATTATTTTAACCCATACTAATTAAATTATGAAAGTTATGTTTATGTTTGAATTATTAAAGTCTTATGTTTTCTTACCGGTGTTAAAGCTAGTCTTCATATGTAAAAAGTAGGCTATACCTTTATTTATAATGCATTTTCTTTTATAAAATACTCAGGAAAAGTATTTTATTGTTTTCAAATGTTGATCTGTGATATTGAAATGAGAAGTTACTTACAATCTTATTTTTGTCTCACCAAGAGGGTTAAACGCTAACCTAGCCTTGGTGATGATGTAGCATAAAATTTTTTAAATTTATGTAGGCTGCAACCTTCATAATGAGTTAATAATTTCAATTCAATAAATTATTGTTCTTAATTTGTATTTGGATTTAATATGTTCCTTTAAACCCCCTCTTTATCCCTGATAAATAGAACCCCACGCCAAATGAAAAGTATTACTGGTCCGGTAGTCTGTGACATTTAGCACAAAAGGGGGTGGGGGGCGGAAACTAGTGGTCCAATGTAATTTAGATCATTGAGTGGACATTAAACCCCATATCTCTTTTTTCACTTAGCTCCAGATTGTTGAGGCAACTGCTTGTGCCTACCTGAGTCTACGTCATACCTGCATTTGTAAAGAGTTACTTCCCTTTAATTTGTCGTAACTAAGGAACTATAATGCATACACTGTGTGGGTTATTTTTATTATTAATTGAGTGACAAGAAAATCGTACGTTAAGTGAGTATACTGATATAAGGAAATATGAAATAGAATATTATCAATTCGTCTAAATCCTAGAAAAGGTTTGCAAACCACTACAGAACTATTTTGTCTTGCACCTCCATTCACTTCCGGTAGCTGCTCGGTCAAAACATCAATAATGTCGGTTATAACAAGAGTTCCCGAACCCAATATATGGGAATTAATTTGCAAAGGTATTTATCAAAATTTCTTTTTTCTTTTACTTTAAAAAAAGAGCAAAATAAACCCTGCATATTTTAGGTTTGATCATTACCCCTGTTTGTCCGTGAACAATACTTGAAACGCTCTCCACTGGGGTAATACTAATAGGCCTCCATAGTCCATGACAAGCCCTTGCCCTTAACTTATTTGGCTTGTTATTATAGACTATAGTATAGTTATCGGTCCAGAGGTCATTACGAAAGGAACAACATGAACAAACGAAAGGAACAACAATTTGTTCATGTTGTTCCTTTCGTAATGATCTCTGGACCGATCAGGGCAATGGCCTAGTATTCAGTCTGTCCTTATTAAGCAACACACTATGAAAAGGTATCACGTCATTTGGGACTCAACATAAACGACATTTGGGACTCAGTTGACGACGTTTGGGACTTGATTGGCGTCAATTGGGACTCAACACAAACAACATTTGGGACTCAATATAAACCACAGTTGGGACTATTTATTTATGAGATATATAGTAACAGCTGTCTTAGTTGTCTTTCGTTTTATTTAGTTGATCGGCGATTGTTGAGACCGCAATTAACACTGCTTTTATCTTTTTTCTTTTATCAAATAGTAAACGAGCTTGATTGACCGACCACTGCTAATGTTTTTCTGTGAAACGGTATGACTGCAATCAACACACGGCCGCCATTCTCGATGATTGACAACTCACGTTTTTCCTCATCCACCAAAGAACCGTTAGGTTTCTTTGAACATACTGTAATAACATTGGGATTATCAGTTAATCAGCTTTAATTATCCCGCTTTGATTGTTGCCATTTCTTATATTTTCCACAAAAAAACTTTGCCTTGTACGCACTAATTTATCAATTGGTATTGCCATCTACGACAAGCATGTCAACGTGCAGCTCACGGATTATCGTTAACAATTTCTAGGGGCTTGTAAAAAAAGATTGCATGTCGTGTAAATATTTATTTTGTTTTTTGTGTAGGTCATTTTCAAATAAATTCATCAGCATATTATTCGTTTTAAATAAATATATAACTTTTATGAGACACGATGATTATCAAAGAACCGTAAGTGCAACTAATGTTTTATCGTTTGGTTGAGCCTTTTACTAACCACGTGTTTCATGTTAATAAATATTTTCTTTCGTGTTTTGAATTGGCCTATTTCTAATAAATTATCCCGAGTCCCAAACGTCGTTAACCCGAGTCCCAAACGACGTATACCAAAGTCCCAAACGTCGTATACCCGAGTCCCAAATGTCGTGGTCATATTTTTTGAGTCCCAAATGACGTGAGTCCCAAATGACATGTAATCTATGAAAATACCACTTTATCCCACCTCTCAAGGCCATTTTGCAGTCCTTATCTTCTATTTTCACCATCATTTATCTTTGTTCGCCAAAACTGTGGCAACAGGGATAATTTCTCGCAACATCTAGTTCATACAACATAGTCATAGTTGGCACAAATTTATGATAATGAAACACAATTTTGAAGTCGAATTTTACGAATCGAAAACATAAACAAAATACATTTGAATAGGTTCGCCATTACAACAGCCATGACAATTCAACAACTATTATTGGTGTCTTTATTAAATTTTGGTGATACTTCCTCAGCCTTCAGCCATTTCACGATATGCTTGTGTTGTAGTTTGTCTTGGGACATACCGGTATTGGAAAATCCATAGGAAAATAGCTCCACTGTGTATTCCATATATTTTCCAAGCCATAGATTTAGACCGAATCTACTACATTATGACTACCCTGGTACGTTACAGAGATCTGTGTCTGTAGGGCAGCAGAAGGGGTCAGTGTATGGCTGGTTATCTATGCACATTTCAAACAACCAGTAATGGGAAATGTATGCATATTTTCAACACAAGGTGAATGTCATTTCCTCCTCAGCTTATTGAGGAACGTACAGTCTATAGAATTCTCTGGACCTTTCACATTTAATAACAATTCACACAATGTTGTTTAAACCAATGTTTGTTAAGTCACTGTGGAGACATATTCTGCGTAGGCTAACCAGCTCTCCATCATACCTTTTGGAAAACATTAACTCTGATTCTAATTGAGGTAGAATGTTCAACCCTGGTGTAGATGTCCGTTATGTGAATGTCTTGACTGTGTTAAGCAGAGTGACAGCCCATTTGATTACTAGATGCTTTTTAAAAAGATAGATGATAGTACAAGACAAGTAATTGTGATGAGTCATTGAGTGTCACCTATTTATTTTTGGATTGAGGCGGGGGACGTCATTGTTGGCTTCGTTTTTCAGAGCTGGTGTGGTGTCGCGATGCCAAGATAATATGGACGTAACAGACAAAATATCTGTTATGATGCATTATGATACAAGCGTGTATTATGATAATTTAACACATTGTTCTACCATATAACTGGTCTTTGCATGGTCATGAGTTCATAAACAACTACTGTATTAATTTTACCATTAATTTTCAGAATATGAATCAAGAAATCCCCCATTTATTGACGAAGAAACCAAATCGGTGAATACAGATTATGAAGACTTTGATCCAAGTAAACATAATCCAGTGTTCTATGGAAAAATGCATGAACGCATTATAACTGATGATGTGATAGATGTTGATGTTTCTATATCTCATCCTGCTTGTGCTGGTTTTGCATTTACTGAAAAGCCACCCTGCCCTCCTACTCCCCCATCTTCTCCTCCACCACCTAAAGATACCTGTTAGTATGTTTAGTAGATTTTATTGATTTTTTTAAAGTTTTTTTTTTTAAGCTATAGTTTCTAATTTATATTTTTAAGTGTTGGATATCTACAAATTAGGTTTTAGATGTTGGATATCTTAGGAATTGTAGTGGATCTCATACTCAAAAGTTCATTATTTTGATTAATAGCTATGTATGAAAAGTTTAAATGTATAAGCTTATTCTTTGTAGTCATTTTGTGTAAAAATTATCTAATGGCTTCCAAAATAGAATCTTCATTTTACTCTAATCTAGATTTAAATTCTCTCAAATCAAATATGCTATCTATATGTTGTAACATACAAATTAGATATATTTATCTTGACTTGGTGAACTTAAGTTCAAATTCTGTGATTACTTATTAATGGTTATGTGAATAGTTACCTCCCTTTAGTCTCCAAAATTATTTTTTATGTTCAAATTAAATAGCCAGTCAATTTGATGACATTGTTTCCCACAAAATTGCAATAAAAAGTAGGTTTATGGCCCTTTCTGTTTTATAATTTGTAGAATAAATGTCTTTTGAGATTTAATTAATAATTCATGGAGGATATAACATTCCGAACTGTTGTGTAAAAAATTGATGTATTCTGTATGGTTATTTATGTATCTTTAATTTAGACTTACAGGTACACATAAAGTTCTTTGTTTAAACTTTAAAACACTATATTATACAAAGAAAGCTTAATTTTCTTTAATGATTCATATTTTCATACGCCCACATTAATTCGGTTTTATTTGCTTGTATTTCTATTTATAATAAAGGTACACCTCGAGAATATCTAGAGCATTATATATTTCCTGTATTATTACCTGCATTAGCTGAAATGTTAAAACAAGCTAAATTAGAAAAATGCTTTGAAGTAAGTCAACTATTCCATCTTGTATGTTAACTTAATACAATATTAAAGTACCATAAAGACAATTGAATAACAAATAAACAATTTTATTATATTCCAACCAACATATATTTATATAAATATACAACATTCATGTAAAATAATGTCACAAAAATAAGCTATATTTAGTAACTGTCTATTACAATAGTATTTGCATAAACTTATTGTTTGCGTATATTGAATCAAACTTTCAGCTGTTATTATTTACATTTTTTCCAGAGAAAAAGAACCAAGTTTAATGCTCTAGATTACATTACAGAATATTTATACAGGTATACAGAATTTAAAGTTTATTTTATTTGAGATAACAAAACAATAAGCTTACTTTGCAAAATTATATTGCAACACCAGTTTATGCATCCTAAAAATACTTAAACACAATACATGTACATGTATATTCTTTTAAAGGAGGCAAGTCGCTAACTCAATATCGTCCACAGACTTCAACGTTGCAGTCGCAACTTTTGGTCAATTTAAATGAACATTGATGTTGTTATCTTACCACGAAAAGATGGGCCTCTAATATCCAATATTTAAGACAGAATGAAAATTTTAAAATTGGCACACGAATGGCGTACCAAAATTCTTTCGAGTGCCATTTGTAATGAAATGAAATGTGGTTTAACGTCCTATGCGACTCGATGAACAAGGCTTAACATGTAAATCAGATTTTATACATTCATATTACATAATGATATGTGTTGCAATCCATTTGTGTCTATTTCTAGATTCCAGATAATAGTGATTTGAGATTTGTGCTGGAAAATAATTCAAATTCATATATTATCTTCAATTCATCGTTTATCTACAAGCATCATCTTGTTATATATTTTCATCCCTCAGTTAAGTTTACTGTTCTCTTGTCCACAACCACCTGTGCATAGCATAAAATAAGAAATAAGTTAATGACTTTGTGACAGGTTAATTTTGATCCCCATTTTCTTCCTTGTTGTTTTGATTTTCTTTAAATAAAAAAATTACTCCTCATTGATAAAAAAATATTTTGATATTTACAGAAATAATAAAAATGTTAGTGGTCGAGAAGATGTTATATTATGGGATATACCATTTGTCAAAGAATGGCTTAAAGACCAGTAAGTAGGCCTACGGGTATTAACTAAGCTTAATGGATAATATTTAGAAAAACTGTCTAGATAGATATTTAAATTGGAAGTATATATTCATCTTAAATCTTGATGGATATAACTTTGTATTCAGACTGAATAAAAATTGGATACTGTTATTCTAATTAGCAATAAATGATTTTATACCAAATTTATTCAGTAGGGTTAAATGGGTATTAGGTAAGATTAGATAAAGAGCTGACAGTTCTTGCTATAATAGTTAAAAACCTGATATAATAGCGATTCAATTTTAGGTTAGCCTTTATTGTCATTAGTCTAGATTATCCATTTTTATGTTAAATCATCCAGCACAAAATGTATTCAAATCTACTAAGTATCACAGGCTAACTAATGGCATTGAGATTTGATTATGGTCTTGATAAGGTAATTAATTTCTAATTAATAGTTTAGATAACATTCAGGGTCTAAAGAAAGACCCGGGGGGGGGGGGGGGGGTTGAATGGCCGAATGGTTAGCACATGCACGTGGTATCATAAGGCCTGTCATTGAGTCAATTGCTGTGGTTTAAATTCCCCGCGTGTTGGTGACAAGTAGTAGGGTCGCCTCTCCAACCTCGTAGGTTTTCTCCGGGTCCTCCCACTGCTAAAGACCCCTACACGCAAGCGCATTATTGAAATAAAATTGAACCATTATGTTAGTCCCAAAATGCCCTAGTTTGTGTCGAGTGGATGTTAAACCCCATTTCTCTCTCCCTTAAAATAGACCTGCAATAGGCAGATTTAGCTCTTACATAATACATGTTTTTTCCTATTGCAGGTCTTTCTTTAGGCTTTATGTAAATTATTAGTTAGACATTTAGTAACATGACAAGACCATAATCAACTCTCGATGCCGTTGTATACTCAAGATTTTAACTAGATCAGAATGGTTGAGCCATTTAATTATTTATTTTAAAAATGGAGAAGCAAGAAGTCTCGACTATACCAGTACCGTGGTTACGATAATAAACAATCAATGCACACATCTTGTTAGAACTCAAGATTTTAACTAGATCAGAATGGTTCGACCATTTAATTATTTATTTTAAAAATGGAGAAGCAAGAAGTCTCGACTATACCAGTACCGTGGTTACGATAATAAACAATCAATGCACACATCTTGTTAGAACTACAAACAGTGTTAACTTGGCTCAGAGTAACATTCCAATATCACCAGCTTATGGAGTGTTTGTGTCTCAACTAATTCGTTACGCGAGAGCTTGTTCATTTTATTCTGATTTTTTAAGTAGATCCAGGCATTTGTCATTTAAGCTTCAACTACAGGGATACTTGCGAACTAAAGTTGTTAAAACCTTTAAAAAGTTTTATGGGCGTCATACTGACTTGATTGGTAAATGTAACATGTCTCTCTCGGCTATTATTCTAGATATATTTAATTGACGTGTATATAATCTCATTAACACTGATCATCACATGCATTATGCATACCGATAGTCTATTGGCCAATCACGCTATTTTACCGAGATTTCGCTTAATAGTTTGGATGCAGCTATGGCGGGTGTGGCGCCGGGCAGGGTAAGCTTACTCTTCCGGACACCTGTTACCACTGTTTGTCGTGTATTTTGTACACGGTGAACAGTCCATATGCTGATTACACTATTTTGCCTTATTACACTATTTTGCCTATACCGTTTTTTTAGGACTTCGAATTTTGTCTAATGGTTTGGATTGTTCATACTTGGTTTTATTTTAATTTGAATGAAATTTTCAATGTGTTAATTTTGCATTATCCATTTTTGAACTATTATAGCAAAAATGGGCAGCTTTGTGTCTAAATCTTACATAATGGATCTTTAATTCAGTAAATTGTAAGATTTTCTCTACTTTACTACTATATAGTTCTAAATTTCGCTGACAGCATACTGCATGTTGTATGTCCATCTTCATTAGTCCCATTTCAAGTGATTTTGAATGTGTCACATAAACAGTCATATATCGAATTTGTGTGGAATTGGCATATAGCAAAAATTTATATAATCCCACTGGCTTCATGCATATATCATTTTAATGAAAACATTTTATGTGCTCTTTAACATAGAAATAATAATTTAATTTTATCGTGATAGCGTATTTGTCTAATTTTCTGTACCTAAAGAATAAATATTGATTTAATTCAAGGACATGTAATTTTTCAGTCCCAGACCACCATTACCATTATCTTTAATATGGACAGAGGAAGAAGCAGCATTAATTATACAGTCATATTGGAGGGGATATAAGGTATTTATTGTCATGGGAGCCAAAATTGTTGAAGGGGAGGGGAGTTCTGATCTTAAAAGTATCAATCTACATGTATACAGAAAACCCCATTGGTATAATTTCTTTGAGACAATATTGGGATTTTTCAAATTTGATATTGTTTTGATCTACATGTATATAAGATATTGTTTATAATACAAATATTGCTCTGTTTAGACAAGATGTGATCCTGAAATTCAAGAGCTGCGACTTTGGCAAAAGGAATGGCGCGAAGAGAACAGGGGCTATGACAAGAAAGTAAATGAATTCTGGGAGTCAAAAATGCCTGACAATGAGAACACATCAGTAGAAAGTGAAGAAAAAGAAGATGATCAAGACGTTAAAGTTGAAGATGAAACTATGTCAAGTTCTCCACAGACTGAAGCAGTATAATTAATAAAGGATTAAAATCAAAGTAATGTTTTGAGAACATTGATATTAAACGATACAAATTATGATCTTTATGTATATATGTATAATAAATATTTTTATTTATATACCTTTTGTCTTTTGTATATCAGATCTAATTATGCTAGAAGGAACATATCCTTTTTAAGTCATAAATGGCCCAAATGTCACAAAGGTTTAAAAATCAAATACATGTTTTGACTTGAATGTGTCATTTTAATCATGTTATGGCTTATGCTTTTTTTTTAATGACTCACATAAGACTAAGTTATGAATAACACTACTTGATTTGGGCTTTAAATTATATTTGTACTAGCAGGTAGCCGTGGTCATAACTCCGAAACCGGAAGTGGTAGACTAACGCCACCTGGCCTATGTTACTCCCCGGTCCGGGCTACCCCTATATCCCAAATTTCAGACTCGGGGTAGACCTAGTGTAGCCGCCAACCCCGAACAGACCGGCTTCGCTCGGGGGTCATAACTCCGAAACCGGAAGTGGTAGACTAACGCCACCTGGCCTATATTACTTCCCGGTCCGAGCTACCCCTATACCCCAAATTTCAGACTCGGTGCAGACCTAGTGTAGCCGCCAACCCCGAACAGACCGGCTTCGCTCGGGTGTCATAACGGCGAAACCGGAAGTGGTAGACTAACGCCACCTGGTCTATGTTACTCCCCGGTCCGAACTACCCCTATACCCCAAATTTCAGACTCGGCAGATGTAGCAGCCAACCCCGAACAGTCTAATTTCGCTCGGGGGTCATAACTCCGAAACCGGAAGTGGTAGACTAACGCCACCTGGCCTATGTTACTCCCCGGTCCGAGCTACCCCTATACCCCAAATTTCAGAATCGGGGTAGACCTAGTGTAGCCGCCAACCCCGAACAGACCGGCTTCGCTCTGGGGTCATAACTCCGAAACCGGAAGTGGTAGACTAACGCCACCTGGCCTATATTACTCCCCGGTCCGAGCTACCCCTATACCCCAAATTTCAGACTCGGGGCAGACCTAGTGTAGCCGCCAACCCGAACAGACCTGCTTCGCTCGGGGGTCATAACGCCGAAACCGGAAGTGGTCGACTAACGCCACCTGGTCTGTGTTACTCCCCGGTCCGAACTACCCCTATACCCCAAATTTCAGACTCGGGGCAGATGTAGCAGCCAACCCCGAACAGTCTGACTTCGCTCGGGGGTCATAACTCCGAAACCGGAAGTGGTAAACTAACGCCACCTGGCCTATGTTACTCCCCGGTCCAAGCTACCCATATACCCCAAATTTCAGACTCGGGGCAGACCTAGTGTAGCCGCCAACCCCGAACAGACCGGCTTCGCTCGGGGGTCATAACTCCGAAACCGGAAGTGGTAGACTAACGCCACCTGGCCTATGTTACTCCCCGGTCCGAGCTACCCCTATACCCCAAATTTCAGACTCGGGGCAGACCTAGTGTAGCCGCCAACCCCGAACAGACAGACAGACAAACGACAGTCACAAATATATATACTATTCAAAAAAAGTAGGGGATATTTGATTTTGGGGGCATAATACTAAAATATGCAAATGACTACGAAAAAAGTCACTATAGAACCTAACAGAAGAAACATTTCCAGTTACATGTGACGCCCAAACGCACCAATAGCTACCGCATGGAATGCAGGTGATGCTTGGGATCATCATGGGGGTCCAACCCAAGATTTGCACGACTCTGACTTTGAATGTTACAGTCATTGTGGCATTGAATTCCAGGGTGGAAACATCAGTTTAATTGTTTTAGTGACCAGAAAACAAATTTTGATATGCGTCGGCTTACCCAAAATGAAAGGTTACGTGCCCTTGGCATGCTACAGATCGGCACAACACAGGCGGTTGTGGCGCGGACGATGAATGTTTCTCAGTCTGTCATAAGCAGGCTATGGTCCAGATACCGTGATACACAATCTGTACAGGACAGACCACGCTCAGGTCGACCAAGGGCGACAACTCAAGCCCAGGATCGATTTATCCGTACCTTGGCCTTGAGAAATCGTGTCATCACAGCAAATCAGATCAGCGCTCGTCTTCAAACAGACACTGGTGTGAGAGTGAGTGGCCAGACGATTCGGAATCGACTGCATAGGGGTCACCTTCGCGCCCGACGTCCTCGCGTGATCCCTTGTTTGAGAGATCATCACATTCAGGCAGGACGTCGTTGGTGTAGGGATCGTCAACACTGGGATAATCGACGCTGGAGCAATGTGATGTTTTCAGATGAGTCAAGGTTCACTGTTGATTTTTTGGATAGACGTAGGAGGGTGTGGCGTCGTCGAAACGAGCGCTTCCAAGACGTTAACGTCATCAGACATGATCGATTTGGGGGTGGTTCTGTTATGGTGTGGGGAGGCATCACTGTTGCTGGAAGAACGGCTTTACATGTTGTTGCAGGGCGTGTTACAGGCCAGTACTACCGGGACAACATCTTGGCAGTCCATGTTGTGCCGTTCGCACGACGTCATGGCCGCCGTTTCATCTTCCAGGATGACAACGCAAGATGTCACAGGGCCAGGATCGTTACAAGTTACCTCCAACAACAGAACATCACCACATTACCTTGGCCAGCACTGAGTCCCGACCTCTCCCCCACCGAGCATGTCTGGGACATGCTTGGACAGAGGTTACGTCAACGCCAACAACGTCCTGCCAATGTCCAAGAACTTGCTGCTGCGTTGCAACAGGAATGGGACAATCTGGACCAAAATGACCTTAGACGTCTCATTAGGAGTATGCCACGTCGGATCAATGCTTGTTTGGCAAACAGAGGAGGATTTACCCGTTACTGACTTGGTTGTGATGCTGTGGTAACTTTGCTGTTTGACCCCGGGTATCATTTTACCCTTATAATGGTCAGTCTGTGCCTTACTTAGTCTAACGATCATTTGGAATAAATCGATGAATGTGAACTTCATTTCATTTTGTCATTTGTTTCTTCGTCAGTTTCATCAGGTGACTTTAATAACACTTAAAAATCAAATATCCCCTACTTTTTTTGAATAGTATATATAGATATATATATATACTTGTGCAATCGTTTGTAATGTGAACATTGTTGGTTAATATTTGGTTCTTGAACAAGAAAAAAAAACCTAAAACAAACTTGATTTTTGTTTATTTCATCAATATAATACATTTATAGGATTAACAAAAAACCTGTTTATTTCGATAAACCAGCAATATAAACATATACTATTAACTAACAATGTTTGTAGTTCAGCCCCGTTAGCTTGCAGTAGGAATACATCATGGTTGATGTGCGATAGGCATTAACAGCAAATCGGTTTAATCCAGGCGTATAATGGACTCTGCCATGCTAAGTATTAACAATCAACCTACACAGGTAACCGATAAATAAAGTTGTTTAATTCCCTATAAATGAGCGGGTTTTTGTTCGGTATTATGGATTTTATGGTCAAAATTCTGGTTCTATATAGCATAGCTGTGTCCTACTTGCTGAAGATATTGATCTTGGATTTATTAAGTAGAATTTCTATGACCAAAAAATCAATTCATTTGTTTATCCATATTGATTAATTACATTATGCACGCAACTTTTTGAAATTATATTACATATTATCTTTATTGAGTGGTTGGGTATAATAACAGCGACGTACATATTGATATGATCTTAAGCAATATCATTTCTGTGAATAACGGTATGGATATCTGGAAAACAAATTAATGAACTTTCACTAACCACTTAAAAGTATAAGTGGATTTTCCAGGTAAAATATCCGCCATAGTACATAGTTTCCGATGAAACAAGCCAGATAGGGTTGTAAAAATCCACTAGCCCGATGCCACCAAAAATAACTTACGGGCTAGTCTTGGACTAGTGCCCTTTCACTGGTTTGTGAATTAAACTAGCGACGATATAGATAAATAAACTGTAAAACATCCGACATTTATTTCTCCAATTCCAAGGAAAACTGAACCATGACGATAGATTTTCTGTAGTAAAACGTAGAGCCGTGGACAGGGGCGACCGACTGATGCACATACCCCTAGTACGAGTTTTCTAGGGGCCACGTGCAGTAGCGGATCTAGACGCTGGGATTAGGGGGAGGGGGGGGGGGTGAGGGCGGTTCCAAATCTAGGGCGCCATCCACAATCCCACTCCACAATGAATGTCAACAAAATACTGGTAGAACATAGATAGAATTTGTAAAATTACATAGTTGTTCGCCGATCGTTGTCTCGCCGGAAAGCAGTTTCATTTATGTTGACATAAAGTTTATGTCATACTAGCAGGATACCCAGCTTCGCTCGGGGGTCATAACTCCGAAACCGGAAGTGGTAAACTAACGCCACCTGGCCTATGTTACTCCCCGGTCCGAGCTACCCCTATACCCCAAATTTCAGACTCGGGGCAGACCTAGTGTAGCCACCAACCCCGAATAGACCGGCTTCGCTCGGGGTCATAACTCCGAAACCGGAAGTGGTAGACTAACGCCACCTGGCCTATGTTACTCCCCGGTCCGAGCTACCCCTATACACCAAATTTCAGACTCGGGGCAGATAGTGTAGCCGCCTACCCTGAACAGACAGACTTCGCTCGGGGGTCATAACTCCGAAACCGGAAGTGGTAGACTAACGCCACCTAGCCTATGTTACTCCCCGGTCCGAGCTTCCCCTATACCCCAAATTTCAGAGTCGGGGCAGACCTAGTGTAGCCACCTACCCCGAACAGACAGACTTCGCTCGGGGGTCATAACTCCGAAACCGGAAGTGGTAGACTAACGCCACCTGGCCTATGTTACTCCCCGGTTCGAGCTACCCCTATACCCCAAATTTCAGAGTCGGGGCAGACCTTGTGTAGCCGCCAACCCCGAACAGACCGGCTTCGCTCGTGAATATGACACGACAACAGAGGAGTGAGAGAATGATGTTATAATGGAATCGAGCGCCGCCGGCGCGAAAAAAATTCAGATATGTAACAGAGCTTTTAATTTTTTGGTCCTGGGCCTGAAAATTTTAGTCAATGTCATGGCAAATGGAACCAAATCTCGTTAACGAGAGGATAAGAAATGGGACAGAATCTTGAGGCATATCTGTCAATTTC